AAATAATAATAGATTAATGTTAATAAAATTATTTTTTTAATCTATATAAATATGAATTATAATTTATTTTTTTAGGTCTTGTTGAAATTGTTGCAATGCCATTTGTTACAGAAAATACAAAAATATTTCTTATATTACCATTATTTCATGATGATCAACAACAAACAATTAAATTTTTAAGACATTGTAATCAAACAATATTTGATAAAGAATCAAGAGATAAATTAGAAATTCTTTTAACACATATTGTTACAACAAAACAAGAATTTCAACAAACACAAAAATGGTTTGAACCAATTCGAAAAGAAGTTGAACTTTTACGTCATATACGTTTACAATTATCTGTAACATATCATACATTATTATTACCAACAAAATCTTATAATCAATTTATTCTTATTGATTATTTTGAATCAAAATTACGTAAAAATGCTTTAATATTTCTTACTACATCTTATGTTGATATTGAATCAGATTTTTTAAATCGTTGTCGTTTAAATGTTATTGATAATGTTCAAGTATTTTTTCCCATTGCTTTTTATCAATATCATCCAAATATAATTAATCGAATAAGTAATGTATCAGATCAAATAATTGAATTACATAAAAATCATGGATGGTTTAATTCTTATTCATATGATCATGCAGCATTTTATATGAGTGATTATTTAAATTCAAAACATTCAATACATTTATCAAATTATACAGATTTATTTGATTTATTTCATAATACAGATATACATATGCTACGAGGACCAGATCAATCATTAAGACATCATTATAAAAATTATAAATGTGATCAAGGAAAACAGACAGAAGAAGAATTTGGACGATGTTTAATACAACGAGAGAAAGGATTAGCATCTCGATCACAATTGGCCATGGTTATTATCGAAGAAGAAGAAAAACAAGTAAAACGTTCAAAACAAAATACTAAATTAAAAAAATTAAAAAGTAAAGATTATGAATAAATTTTTATGTTTTTTTTTTTATAGCGTTTATTTTTATATAGAAGAATCATTTCTTATAAATAAAAAGCGTTAAACGCATTGATTATTCTGGTTTTTGTTCTCTATTCTACACTGTGACTAAACAAACGAATGCAACATCAAACTACTGAGTTTATTTTAATTATATTTTATTGAAATTGATTTGAAATGATGATGATGATAATAGATGGAAATCGTTAAAATTAAGTATAACCAATAAAAGCTATGGAAAGATATTTGTAATGCTTCTAGATGGCGAATTGTTTAATCAAAAAAATTGTTTTTTAGTTGATTCAGTGGTTTTTCTAGGATATGAAAAAAAAAATTAACGAACCATTTTATACCAAATGAAAAGCTATATCTTTTAGCTTATTTAAAAATATGTTCATCTCAACACATTTCACGTAGAAGATTTGTTTGTGTTCGAATTTTCATAAAAATCACTGTTCTCAGTTTTGAAAAATTCAGTAAAAAACGTATAATTTGGTCAAATGCTTATATTAGAGGTCTATAATGATCCAGAAGATGCCTGTTGTACTGTTCGTGTTGTACAAAATTCTTGGTCATTTGAGGTGTCCCTGATATCACAGAATTTCTACGTTTTTTCTGTGGGTATCTAAGCTGAAAACGCTCGAGAATATCGTTTTTGAGATCACTACTTTTTGAAAATTCCTGAAAGATTCATGCAGGGATTCTAGAAAAAGATCACGCAGATTTTCTGATGTTAGCAACATATTTATTATTTTGTTTTATATATACAAGAATTATAAATGATCCAGTCTTTCCAAAAGGATCTGAAAAGTTCTCTCTTAGTGAGTGATCATTAAAACGTCAGAAGAAGTCACTATGACATCAGTAATGGTAACGGCACGATCTACGTGCACAAACTTAATTAAAATTTATGAAAATTTCAAAAATACCTTGTGGTGAGATAATTCTTATATTGAGTGACATGATCGAAGACCATGGAACATGACCGTATCAAGCAGAATTACTAGTAGAAAATGCGGAAACCTTTGAACTTCTGATATATTTAATTTTAATGACAAATGTTATGTCAAACATGAATGCTCCCACTACAATACTGCGAAAAACAACACTTCGATCTGATAACAACATCAGAAATAATGAAGCCAACTAATACACTTCTTTGTGCTATAAGAAACGATTTATATCAGTTTCAAAAACATTTGATTATTAGCAGAAAAACAGTGGTCGATAATTGTATCGATTCAGATTTTGAGTTCCAGAAATACAGATATCGAAGGCTTCTGAAACGACTGGATAATAGACCTCGATCGGCATACAACTTCTTTCGTTGAATACTCAACAGACATTGTTTTTATGATTTCATAAACTAAAATTGTTTACGTTCTATCATGAATGATGAGCAGCGAGTAACTATTCCACTTCCTATTTATTATGTGTTCTATAGGATGTGACTGTCTCAATAAACAACATGTCTTGGTTTTAGGCAAACAAAAAGACAAGCAAAAGCTGAGATCGATTAAATTACCATAAAATTTTTAATACGACGTAAAATGTCAGCAGATTTATTTACAGAATAAAGTTGTCGGATACTGGAAAGAAATACAGAGTACAACAGAACTTTTGACGTTATTAAAAAATAACGAAAAATATGTTTGCGGCTTATTATTATTTATCCAAAGTATTTTTTGTGTTCTCCTAATAGATTAATCCTCTCCTTCTACTATTTTTCCTAGATTACAAATCATGAATTGTATAATAAAAACTATAAACAACCACCACTATAAATACCTAAAGCGTATAGAGGGTGCTGATGTCGACCATCACCTTCGTTAATGATAGTTCACAACAGTGATAACCTCATGCGTCGAGAAAATTTCTCGATGTTATATAACTGTGCAATCAAAATAATCGCAGATATGTTCACTGTTAAGTCACTGAATCAAGTTCTGATTTGTTTACTTTTGGCCAATTGACAGATAATCATTTGTGGTTGATCAAGGCTGCTGTTTACGCGACCATATCGCACGATTTAATCATAAATATAGTGAAAGAGATTATTAAATAGCGCTACTCTATTAAAACCAAAAGACGATGGATATCAACGGTGCTACAACTCCCACATCAACGACAACAACAAGTGTGCCTTCAAACGTCCGCGATAAATTATCGAACAAAATAATTATAAAAGCTCAATTAAATGATGATATTCGAAAAATAATGATACATAACGAAGAATTAACACTTGATGAATTATCGTTGATGATGGAACGCGTTTTTGTGGGAAAAATAAATTCAACAGATCAGCTGATCATTAAATATTTGGACGATGATGGCGATAAAATAACGTTATTAACTGACAGTGATTTGACAGTGGCGCTGCATTTTCATCAAATATTAAGATTATATTTGTATATTGATGGTTATGAGACAACAGCCAAGGAGACATCAATCGATGTAAAAACATTTCGTCATGAACTGCAGCAAATACAGAGTTCTGTACAAACAATATTAGATCGTTTACAAGCACAACCAGCATTATTGTCAAGAAAAACTATAGAAAATGAGAAATCATATAATACAGCAGTAGCTGAATCTCACGAAATACCATTACAACAAACAGCACACATTCAAGAAGAATTTGATCCAAATAAACAACAACAACACCAACAACGATCTGGAACACCTGATAATATGATATCAAAGCCATTATTATCGAATACAGGGGCAAATAACGAAGTACAAAAAGGATTTGAATTGGGTAAAATATATTTAGAATTTATTGTGGAGGCTATCAAGAGCAAGTAATAGTTTTTCAGCAAACGCTAACGTGAAACGTTTTTCATCACTGTAGAGGGTTTTTTTCTATTCACCTTAAGAAATGTTTTCAGAATTTCAATATAAACATGAATTGTTCATGTCAAAATTTTTAGAACACACTATATGACTCTGTGTATAGCAAAATTCAAATTGTAGTTAAGAAAAAAATTTCACTGAAATGAATATTGAAAACGTTTTTGCATTTAGGTTATACTCAACAAACTGAAAGTGCTACTGAATCGAACAAACCATTGAGACCGCCACCATTATCATCAAACTTATATAATCAAACAAATCCACTATATACGCAAATGCCCTCATTACCTCCACTGGCTAAATTTAGTACATCTGTACCCCAATATCCTCCAGATCATCAAATGATGCCCGATTCGTCTCAGCAGTATATAGGACAATCACAAACATCTCAACAGCAAAGTCAGGAGCCATCATCGGCACTCTCAGCTTCTATCGTTCATCCGTACTATCATCAGCAAGCCGTAAACCAGCAACAACAATGGCCATCACATTACAATATTTCACAACATCCGTCTACATCGAATGATCAAGGATTTCATGCAACACAGACAGCGCAACAAGCATCTTCTGGATCATCTAATTATCCATCCAATTATCTTGCAGCACAAGCAGCATCGTCAATACCCCCCGCTACGATCCAACCATCTTCCTATATGCCCCCCCAAGTGCCCGGTACTATCGGCATGGCACCACCATCGCCTGGTATGTTTAATGCTGCAAATCAACCTCCAAATCCATTTGCAGGTGGAATGCAGTATGGTCAGAGTATACAGTATCCAAAAGTGCCACAACAACCACCGCGATAAATAATGTATGTAGTTGTTAGCTGCAACTCTACTTAATTAGTGTATGACAGGCCGGTGTGCAAGTATTCGCAATCTTACATTTTCTGCATGTAATTTTCATTTTTGTTAATCCTTTATATATTATATTCAAATGTTTTGATTTTTCAATAGTTCAAATTATCGTTATGGATATTTTTTTCAGTTTGTTCATTTTAAAAAGAAATACCATAATAAGTCTGCTCTTTTTTCATCCATAGCCACTACGTTATGGATTTGATGCGCTTGACAACAAAAACGGTGACGTGGAGATTTCTTTTTATCTCTCCGTTGATTAAATTAGATTGTAATCACGCCGCGTATGTTACAAATAGCGACTGAGGTGAAATAGAATGAGGTCCCAAGTTGTACTTAACTTCGCTAGAGACTTTTCCAGAAGAGAGTGAGAAGACACAGTTCAGCACGAACCTTCTTAGCAGAGCGCATCATCTCAGTACAAATTACTTGAATAGATGTATAGAAAAGATCTGATTGAAATTCACAATGCTCTCCCAACAGAGATGTACACACCCTCAGAAAGCCCTGTTTTTGATCAACAAGCGAAAAAATCGGGGGGCTTTACATGAATGAATAGCTTCTTTCAGACTCTATTACTCCACTTGAAAAATTTATGTTTGCACAGATTTCCTGTAAGCCACATCAAAACTTTGCTTTTGTAAACTTGTCTTAACTACCACGAATGGACTTATGTTATTCTTATTCGAGGCAAAACGAGATTGATATTTTAAATAATCTGATAATGACAGACTAACAACTGAAGAACCCTCTGCTTAACAGAAAAAACTAAGAATAGCAAAACTATGTGCAAGTGGAAACGAAAAAATTCTAGTAAGCATCGTCTAATTCGTTATCCTCTTTGATTTCGACAATTATTATTGTTTAATGTGCAAATGCTACAGTATAAACGGATTTTAAATAATTATACCTTACAAGAACAAGTGTGTCCTACAAATAGCCCTATATTCTTCAATCTGCTCTTTTATATCGAAATGGTGCACGGGGTTCTATCTAAACTCCGACGAAAAATTCTAGATGTATTATTTCAAGATCTTGATTTTATGTTCTAAGTAAAACTTTCAGATAAAATGACCACGAGGGTTTTATCTCCAACTCTACACTATTTTTCTACAGTCTATTTCTTTTCGTTTTTTTTCTCTTTGAAGCCCCTACAGAACGTACTTGTGCCCAAGTATTTGGCACAAGTACCCCGCTTGTGTAATGAAGCCAGTATTTGTCTTTTTTTCAGAAGTAAATTTACTTATAAGTACTTGTCCAGCGCGCTTGTCAAATAAAATTGCAAGTACTTGGTTTGTTTTCAAGGTAATATCATTCGAGTGTTTCTCTATTGTCGCTTAATACTCACTTTGTGAGCTTATATTATTCTATGTCTGAAGTCCACAAAGAAAACACCTTTTCCCAGTGGCGGCGCAAGGTCAGTTTTTCAGGGGAAGCAATAAACTTTAAAATAAGAATAATGGGACTAAAGTCACCTAAAAGGTGACTTTAGTCCTATTATTCTTATTAAAAATTTTCACCTTACGAAATAATTCTTCAATTAAACTTTAAAATGAAATTACGTTCGCTATAGTCCCTTTCTCTCTGTTCGCATAGTACACAATTCGTCAGTAAAATTTTTCCGTATAGCATTTTCTGGATGTATTTTACTCGTTTTTTTCATTTTTTATTCTTCAAACGCTGTCAAGTGTTTGTCAATGAGTATTATTGACATTGATGACAAAAACACATTCTTGTTCGAGAAGTATATTTAATTCTTTTGTTTATTTTCAAAATATTAGTTATAGTTTTATTCTAGCAAATATACTGAAAAGCGCCAAAATTTTGAGGAAGCAATAAACTTTTATTGCTTCCCCCAAGTTTTTTTAGGGAAAGCACTTGCTAACCCGTTGCTTGCTGGTGCGCCGCCACTGCCTTTTCCTAAGCATAGGTATAGTATTCATGTAAATAGATAGCGACGAGCGGTCCTAACCTGTATTATCCAAGCAACTGCTGATTTTAATCTTATTTTTAGTTTATATCTGCTTTCTAACTAGCAGAATCAAAGCATTATGTTCCCGAAGAGACCGGGTAAAACATGCTGAAATCAGTATGTCAATTACCTTAAGAAACACTTTATTTTGAGAGATCTTGTATCAAAAGTTTTTCTTTTTCACTCTTTCTTTATATAGAAATCGCTAAATGGGAGTTCACCGACGTTAAGATAAATTGTTTGTTGGATTTCGAAATATAAAGTGTTCGATTAACTCTTGAAAAATCCTTTTGATTTTTTGCTCAAACTGGGAAATCCTTTGCTATGTGGAAACCAAAAACGATGTTTCCCTAAACCAGATGCATTTAGCAAAAAATCACTTCTGGTTTTTACCAAAGCTAGACACCCTCTTTAGTTTGCTGGTCAAACAGAAAAACTCGTTTGATTTTTAAATACGCTTTTTCGGTTTAGGGCGACAAAAAAGCCCTTACTTGTCAAGGACTTTCACAAAGTACTTCTTAGCAATAAAAGCAAATATTTTTATCATTGAGAAGTACTTCTGAAAGTACATGACAAGTGAGAAATTTTGAAAATACTTGCCAATTTTTCCAAGTACTTGCATCAAGTTAGGTCGCAACTATGCCAAGAGCAATCTCGTTCACTTTTTTCTATGAAACTAAAGAGGATCTCTAATCATTCATACATCATTCGATGCGTCTTGAAAAGCTCTACAATATATGGTAATTGGAAACCATCGCAGATCGAAAATTCCTTCAGCTGTTCAAATCTTTTGGCAAATTTGTTCTAATTATTGTGGTCGACGAAAAAAAATGAAAAATAAGGATGGCGAACAACTACGGGACCCACTGGGAGATTAAGCGGAGAAGTACTGAATAGACAAGAACCGCTGCCAGACTTCGTTAAGTTTCCTATTAACATATATTGTAGGGGTTTTTCAAGACGCATCGAATGATGTATGAATGATTAGAGATCCTCTTTAGTTACATAGAAAAAAGTGAACAAGATTGCTCTTGGCATAGTCGCGACCTATGAATAAACCTTGTACTAAGCTTATAAAATCTGCTGCCAGACTTTGTTAACTTTACTATTAACACATGTTGTAGAGCTATTCAAATATATTCACATTCTTTGATTCTTTTACGTTTTTTATAAAACTAAATATATTTAATATAACTGAAAAACATTTTTAAAAAATCATTTTACAAAAATGTTTTTCAACTATATTAAATATACTTAGAGCTATTCAAGACGCATCGAATAGTGTATGAATGATTAGAGATCCTCTTTAGTTTCACAGAGAAAAGTGACCGGCAGTTCGAGTAGCATAGCGGCGACCTATAGAACAATCTAGTATTTGATTCACAACGGCCGCTGCCAAGCTTCATTAAGTTTCCTATTAATATATATGCAGAAGTTTTCACGGTGCATCGAATGATGTACTGCACTAGGCTTACTATTGGATGGTTACGGAGAAATTTTGATTTTACGGTCATAGTGCTGGTGTTAAATCGTTGCTTGTTTTCGAGTAGATTCTGTCGGGTATATTGGACTGAAAGCGTTCGGAAGAATCGGAATCATCGAATATGATGATCGGATGTGATTCTGATGAGTTTTGTACCGATTGGAGTGATTAAAATTAGTGGGTCGATTTCACGTTTATTTCACGATATGTATAAGTAGTTTTCTGAAGAAGCCCTCCTTGAAAAACCGAAACTCCTGCAAATCGATTCTTCGATAACTTCAAGTTCAGACGGTGGATTATACCCATTGGATCTTTTTCTCCTATTTATTGCATTATAATCCGTTATGTGATGCAGACCCTCTAACCCATTGTAATGCTACAAAAATTCCTAACATGTTTCAATGATGAGTAACACCTTGTAACACTAGATCCGAAAGTGATGTCAATTCAAGCCCTTACAAATCTGTTCGGACCTAAAGTCCTATATAAAGTCTCACGTCAATGTATACAGCACTATGTCTGCTATAGTTGGGTAATGTTACCCAAACCAAACTTTTCATAAGGATTCGATTAGTCGTTCCAAAATTACGCTGGAATGCGTCCTTGACTAGAAAACCGTATATTTTCCTTTTGAGTACTGTTTAACTAGCTGTAAAGGGTTAATAACCAATGTGTTATAAAACGTTCCATTTTCTTATCTCATTGCATTGAGTTGGAAAAGAATAATGCATTGTATGTATCACATGTTAACGCGTTACAATATGATAGGCATTATCTAATGAGTTATAACATTATACGTTAAATGTCTCCTAATGTATTATCACGCATTAGTTTCTAATGAGTAGTAATGCCTAGACATTGGATAATGCGTTATAACTGTATAAGTAACCCAAATCAGGCTTCGTGACGTTTAAAAAACATAATGTATGATAACAGGTTAGTTTCTAACGCATTACTTTCAAGTAAAAAACTAACATGGGTTATAATACAGAACTTAACGTGTTATAAGACGCTAGACAGATTGTATTGAGTTGTCACATTATAAAAAAATAAAGCGTATTATATTACTATAAAGTTGTAATAATAACTCCTAAAGAATAAGTTTTGAATATGCTGCAACGTGTTATGATACGTCTATCGCCTTTACAACCGCCTTGATACATTTTTGAGATTTCACTGTACCGAATCTGACATAAAATATGTTCTTATATTGCTGGATATACGAGGACTATGAGGAAAATGAGGAATGTTCGCTTTTCCGGAAAAACGTTTTTTGGCCGTTCGCCTGAAAAACGTGGTAGTACTGATTGTATTTTAACATTTCTGTACAAATTATCTAGAATCATCTCACGTGAAGAAAAAAATGAACTTCGTGCAGAGCCGCGAAAAAATTCTCTTTTGTATTCAGCATACTCAATAACCCAGTAGATTTTCTCTTTATGGCGAGACGTATTGCCAAATCTTTAAGAAAAATTTTGAAACGTATTATTTTCTCATAGAAACTTTTTTGGCCATTTTGTTTGAACAGTTTTCTTAAACTTTTGGGCAGTACTTCTTGCCAAAAAGAGAACATCTTCTGGGTTATCGAGTGCGCTGAATACAAAAACGCACTTTTCCGCCACTATGCATTAACTTTAGTTTTCTGTCGATGATATGTTTAAGAATCAAAGAATGACGTTACTTGTTGTTGTACCTACATGAGATTTTTCTGTTATGTCAGTTATCGTGCAGTGTGTATCTTGTAAGATCTCTGTACGACCAGGCTGATATTCCAAAAGTTGTTACACAAATATTTTCGTTTTGTTCAATGAATAGATAGTCCAAAGTCGCCTCTTCAAAATGGGAGCGAAGTGTTCTCTTAATTTTTCGTGTTTTAGGCGTGGCATCGGATTCTTTATATTGGGCTCTTGCACCCACTTACATCTGCTCCTACCCTAGCGAATGCTGAATTGGCACCGGTATGAAAATTTGTATCGGTATCGGACCAACCAGTATAAATACCATACCAAATAAATTTCGTTTTGCAGCTGCTTTTTCTTTACAGAAAAACCCAAACCTTGGAAACTTGAACTGGTCCTTACTACGCGCGCAGTTCCTGAGACTGCTTTTCTGTAACTTTTCTCTTAATGCAGTTGAGAATATGTACGTCAGACATCAACGAAATAATTCGACTATTCGATCTTCAGTGGCTGTCACCCATCCACTTACTAATGGTCATCGTGGTGACCCGTAACTAGAGAAAACACAAATTTATAGTCACAATTTCTCTGTAAGTCACGCGAGTGTACTGCTACTATAAAAATATCCAATGAGCATAGTCAAATTTTTGATCAAACAAAAATGAACTATGCAGCGTTGTACCATTTTACGATCTTTAGAATACGTTTTAACTTTTACATTTGTGGAAGGCTTTCACTATTACTTCTCACTCTCTCCGATTTGTGTCTTTTTTAATATGTTTTTAAAGAACTGACTCTTTGCGATGAATAATAAAATTACGCCTGTTAATAAACATAAACTTCTTTTTTAGATGACTAGTATGCATCGTATGATTACCTACCTACACAAGTATATTTTCACCACAGAAGGTATTTGCACTTTGTGCTTATTTAGTCTAGATTTTTGTTTTGTTCGATCTAATCACAGAAATAATCATATTACTCATTTTACTGGTTGCACTACAGTAGTTTGTTATAGTAATAGTAATAGTAGCATGTGTAGAAAAATGAATATTTCATTTTTTTTTTTCTTCATTCTGTGTTCGATAATGAATATATGCATTTATATAGCTACACATGGTCGATTCGTAAGGAAGAAAGAAGAGAATAAACTATTAGGTCAAAGTACAAGTCGACCATAATAGTGTAAACGATTGCTCTAGCGTAGTAGTCAGTCCTTCAAATAATTAGGTTTATGTTGTAAACGATCATTAGCTCGGTCCCGCGTATACTGCATACACCGATCTGTATTCATTTGAATGGCCGAAGCACATGAAGCTGTTGCATTTTCATTTCAAATTGGTCCTGATGGTGTTAATGTTAATTTAAGTTTTGATGCCGTAAAAACAATTGTTTACAGCGGTTTAAGATCATGGAAATTAAGATGGCGACGAGGTTTAAATTCGTTATATAATAGTTTGTATCCAGGTGGTCCCATTCGAGGAATAGCATACGTTGGGTTAGTATCAACTTTATATTATAATGGTTATGATCTATCATTTCAAATTATACCATGGCTCGAACAACATGTATTTCGACCATATTTTTTACCAAAAACTTCGAAAATATTAGCCTGTGTTGCGTTTGGTTGTGGATCCTATATTGTAGTTATTGAAATAAGAAAACAAACATTAAGAATATTATTTTCCTATCATGGATGGATGTATCAGACTCATGGCAAAAAAACTCCAATTTTATCAAAATTATGGGGAGGAATAGTTTCATTATTGGTTGGACGAAATCCGTCATTATATAGTTGCCAAGGATCTTTACCAACATTACCATTGCCATCTGTGAATGACACAGTGGAACGAGTAAGTCGTTTATAAATCTTCTTTTAATCAGTTAGCATTATTGAGTATTTTTTTTATTCCAGTATTTACGAACAGTGCGTCCATTGTTCGATGATGCTGAATATACACGTATGGAAAAGTTAGCGGAAGAATTTAAAAATTCACTTGGCGGACGATTACAGCGATATCTGTGGCTAAAATGGTTATTATCCTCCAATTATGTAAGTTAAAAACAGTCGTTTCAGTAGAGCTGGATTTTATCTTAGTCTACCATCTTGTTATTCAAACTGTACATGTTTTCGATTTCAAATACCGTTTTTTTTCGTATTTAGGTCTCAGATTGGTGGGAAGAATATGTTTATTTACGTGGTCGTTCACCAATAATGGTCAACAGTAATTTTTATGGTCTGGTATGTCTTGAGAAACAGATGTGACTTTTTACTCATATGTGTTATTTGTAGGATGCCGTTTATATTCGTCCAACAACAGTCCAAAGTGCACGTGCAGCAAATTTAACATGTGCTGCATTTTTTTATCGAACTGAACTCGATAAAGAAAATATTAAGCCGGTATGTGTTACTATTGATTATCTTTTATCTCCTATTCATCGCTTTTTTATCGATATATAAATGACATTGTTTTTTATTTTCAATTTTAACTTTATCACTCATATCTTGTCCTGTCTATTTTGTAGTTAATGGTTCAAAAACTGGTGCCATTGTGTTCACGACAATATGAGCGTCAATTTAATACAGTTCGAATACCAGGCCTTGAAACAGGTATCTAAAAGACTGAACGATATTTTTCTCAATAATATTTTATAGATATATTTCTTTTCTGTATGTAGATAAAATTATTCATTATTCGGATAGTCGTCATATAGCTGTTTATAATAAAGGACGATGGTATAAAGTGTATACATTCTACAATAACCAGTTATTAATGCCATGTGAATTACAAATACAGTTCGAGGCAATTATTAATGATACAACACCTCCATCAAAAGGTGAAGAACATTTAGCGGCATTGACAGCTGGTGAAAGAAAACAATGGGCACAAGCAAGAAATAAATATTTTTCAACAGGAATCAATCGTTCATCATTAGATGCTATTGAAAAAGTACGATGTTATCTTAATTTATAATCAATCCTGCCGCAACTGTTAAGCTATATTTCAACAAATTATTCTTTTCCACTTCTTTAGGCAGCATTTATTATCATTCTGGAAGACGAAGATTATGCATTTACTGCTGTAAGTATTTATAAATTTCTTTAGTCTACTTTTTTGTATTTCGATTGTCTTCTTACTGGAATAAATTTTACAGGAACATGGATCATCTCTGTCGACACCGGTAAATGACTAGTTATATATATCTATATATATATGTATTTGTATGCCTATAATAAGCACTAGAGCAAGTTTTTTTCTATGCACATTTAACATTCTGCACAAACATGTCTGTTGCCTTTATTGTTTATTTTTCACACTTATCTTGGTTTCTACGTGTTGCTTTGTAATAATCGTTTTTAATTCTATTATTAGCTACCACTAATATGATATAATATTAATTTTATGTATTTAGACTATGAGCAAAGACTTCAATGATTACGCCCATTCTATTTTCCATGGAAAAGCATATGATAGATGGTTTGATAAATCGTTTAATTTTATTATTAGCAAAAATGCTGTGGTATGTAGAAGACTATGTATTTTTCATGCATTTCCATTTGATGACGAGTCTATTTAAAAAACGAGCAGAGCGAAAGTACTAATTTTAATCTCTCTGCTTTTAGTTCGGTTTCAATGTCGAACATTCATGGGTATGTCTGCTCACTGTGAACACGGAATTATTGTTTTGACATCAAGTAAAGGACGGATGCCAGTTTTAAGTGAAATCTGTCCCCAGTGCTTTTAATATGCTTTCAATCGGAGTTTGTCGGAGTTGGCAATGAAGCGTCTTTTGTGAATTAAATACTAGATTTTTCTATAGATAGCGGCTATGACACTGCACCTAACTGATATAGACTTTTCTTGGAGTCTAGCACTCGTACCCGATGACTTAGAATAGCCTTGGTAATCAACAACGTTGAACCTTTGAGCAATGTTTTCTTTTTGAAAAGAAATGCAAAAACTTGTGAAAACCGAGTTTTACGAAAAGTAGAGTTTTCAGACTGTTTTTACCTAATACTAAAAAATTAACTCTACACTCAAAAAAGGACAGAACGAATTGAGAACTCCAGGATATGGTTACTTATGTCCACTAAAGGTTAACATACCATCCGAAAATCACAAAATTATGAATGTGTTCACAGACTTTTCTAGAAAATCTTTTAAAAGGGATAGAGGTTTATAATTCTTTTCTCTAAACTTCTTATAAATATCATGTACAATGCATACATCCTATTCAAAGTCATCGGGGTACGAGTGCTGGGCTCCAAGGAAAGTTAATATCGATTAGGTGCAGTGTCATAGCCGCTATCTATAGAAAAATCTAGTATTTAATTCACAAAAGACGCTGCTAGGCTCCGTTAAGTTTTCTATTAACGCATATTGTAGAGCTTTTCAAGCGCAATTTTTCTATATCAAACGCGAGTTCGGTCCTCTTTTACTTATAGTAAAAAAAGACCGAAACGGTCATACAGTCTTCGATTTCGGATATCAATTGATCAAAAAAATTTTTTTGATCTATGCTCAACTAAGGACGGTCATATACCACTTTGTACAGTTTTCATTGCCTATTTTTCTGTACCAAACGTTATCCTATCTCTAGTTCAGATTTTTAAAAAAAAATCATATTTTCGGAAACCTTAATGCATTGGGCATTCTGATACAACAATCACAATAAGAAAATTTCTAGGACGTTTCTAAGGCTCGGCTATTATTATTTTCTCTACGAACTCCGACTGGAAGTATCTTAAAAGCACCGAGAGCAGATTTCACTTAAAATTAGCTCCCGTCCTTTAGGCTGATGCACCTATTACTGGACACATGGTCGAATATGTTATATGTGAAGACATTATTCATTTTGGGTAAATAACGATTTCACAAGACGTTTTTTAGCTTAACGTCTAGAATAAGTTAGAACAAAAACTTCACTCTTTTTTTCCGATACAGTACTGATGTCTAGACACTATGCAGACTTGAGCAGAACAGGACTTTGATAAACTCAGAAAATGAATTTTTAACACGACTAGAAGTGAGACATAAGTTGCTAGACAAACACGTGAAAAGAAAATGTATGCCTCGACCGGGGATCGAATTCAGGACCCTCCAATTATACGAATGAATTTCAGGAATATACGGTAGTACGTTTAAAAGATATAAGTTTTTTTCTGGGTCCAGTGGTTCAAACGAAGCTGTACAAGAGTTTTCTAACTTTATTTAGATATGACAAAGACGGAAATACTAACGGGACTCCTCGCTTCGATGCAATCAAGCCAATCAAACTAAAATGGAATATATCTGATGAGGTAAATAATTATTGACATTTGACTACTGCAAATTAACAGCAAATTGTTAAACATTTTAGTGTGATCAAGTTATTGAATCTAGCTTGGCGGTCGCTACTGAATTATATCGCGATGTTGATTTAAATGTCTACATTCAAGATGATTATGGAAAAGGTTTTATAAAAAAATGTAAACTATCACCGGATTCCCATATCCAGATGGCTTTACAATTGGCATATTATAGAGTAAGTTATAGCTTCAAATCATAATACTAGCTCTATATTTGTACATCTATTTAAATAGGATTCTGGCAAATTCAGTTTGACATATGAAGCATCAATGACAAGATTATTTCGTGAGGGTAGAACAGAAACTGTACGCTCGTGTTCAATTGAATCCTCTCAATGGGTGAAATCAATGAATGATCCAAATATTAGCGTAAGTGAGATAAGAAGAATCGATTAAAATTACTCAACATGTTTGTTTTTTTGTTTTTTTTGTAGAATGCAAAACGTATTGAATTATTACGTTTAGCATGTGACTACCATCAACAACAATATCGCGATGCAATGACTGGAAAAGGGATTGATCGACATTTATTTTGTTTATATGTTGTTTCAAAATATTTGGGTGTTGATTCACCATTTTTACAAGAAGTTTTAAGTGAACCTTGGAAATTATCAACAAGCCAGGTCTGTATTAAATTCTTATTTTTGTCATTGTTTTCGTCCTTTCTCTATGCATAATTTCTTAAAGTAGACACAAACTAGCTACGGTTAAAACGTTCAATTGAATCTAAACGAGATGTCACTATAAAATAATGAATAGATAATATTTTGAAATAACAGCAGCAGAAGGAGATTTCGGACCTGTAAGTTGAAGCAAAATCTCGAGTTACAGCATGTCTATGTGTAGTATAAAGTACACAGTGATTCTTTTTGTCGCATCTTGACTTACCATAAAGATTTTATGCTTGAATCTGTTTTGCATCTTGTTTTCTTTTTGTTGTTTTGCATTTCTCATTTCTTTTTAATAACAATTTTATATAGACACCACATAATTATGAAGAAAAATATGCCAAATATACCAAAGATCCATCTAAAATAAATGCTGGTGGGGGCTTCGGACCGGTAAATATCGCTTTAAAAATCTAAAATCATTGTTCAGTATAGTTTAAGTTAGATAATTGTTTTGATTTTTTGTCTAACTGAACTAATATATTTTCAAGCTCTATATTTCAAGATCTTTCTGAAGTGTTTAGTTTTTGACGAGTGAGAAGCCAATATTTGAGAGTTTCTAATGAGATTTTCACCATTATTATACAAGGTGACCTCACAAAAGAGCAGAAAAGCTTGTTCTGATTTTTCATACATATGTCGAACAGTATGAGATTGCTGTGGTGGTGTGTATTTTATTTGTTTGTATTTCATTCGTTCATATTTTTCTGCATGTTCATCAATATGCCGTTTTTCTTAATTTACGCTTTCAATGCATTTATTAATTGTCGATTTTTCAGGTTTTTATTAAACAACAATGTTGTTCGTTAAATACCTTTGGTTTCTTTCATTCACAGGTTGCCGATGATGGATATGGTGTTTCATACGTAATTGCTGGTGAAGATCTTATTTTCTTTCATATAACATCAAAAAAATCATCATCAGCCACGGTAAGGAAGCAGTTGATGAATTTTAATTCTTTCAATATTTGTAAATCTTTTTCTCCTATAGGATTCTCTACGTTTTGGTAATCATATTAAGAAAGCTTTCAATGATATGAAAAATTTATTCAACAATGAATCAGTGGAGTAAATACAATCTCATGATTTTTTTTCTTCTTTTGGCGATTTTTTTGACTGTTGCAAATAATTTATTTCTCAATATTCAATTGTACATCATATAATTTGTCGACGAACTAGGATTACTTATCCACACTTTTTTTTATTATGAGCTCTATATGAAAAATGCATAATGTAAATATTTTATTATATAATACAATACGCGGTCAATTTCAAACCTTTTGTAATGTATTTGTTTTGTTTCCATTTAGAAAATTAATCAAAATTCTGAAATTTTTTTGTTTATAAGAAACGCATGTTTTGTGTTTACATCTTCATCGCGTTTTTGTGATATTGTATGATTTAATGCATAGTTTTTCCACGGATATGAAAGCTTCAGATTACGATGTTTTTCATTGTTTATTATTTAACATTTTATGTATACAAAATATTAATAGTATTCAATTAACAAAAGTGGTTATAGTTTCGAACGTGTCTGCATCTCAGATTCATGTTCATGGTATAATTTTGAAAACAGTTTTGTAGCATCACACGCACAACCCCATGATAAAGAAATTCCATTACCTCCATGACCATAATTATGAACTACCTAAAAGAATATTGTCACTCATATTCTTATTCTAATAATTGATTCTAGTTGTTGATAAACTCACCGATAATTTTTTTATATCATTTTGATAAATTTCAATTTCTAGACGAACTGGTTCTCTATTTGGTCGTAAACCAGCCCAATCCCAAAGAATTTCTGCTTGCTGCAAATATCCAAACATATGCAAAAATGCTCTCTCTAGTATGAAAAACTTACCGCTAAACTTGGACATAAACGTAAGCATCGCTTCCATATTCCATCTTTATCATTTGAATCCACTTGTACATTTTCATTGTCTAATTGTCTCGTTCCACCAAGGCAGAGAGAATCAACGCTGAAGAATTAAAAATGTTATATCAGTATAGCAGTGATTAAATACATGAATAAAATTATATTTTACTTGGGTATCAGATAACAGTTATCATCGGTATAATAAAAATGTTTTATCCAAGGAGCATGAACCTATAAAGAAAAATACTGAAAAGTCATATATTAAAACAAATATTTCATTTCTCGTTCAGTTCTCCTTTTTGTTTTTTTGAAGAACAAGAATCTTGAACAAAATTGTCTGTCAAACGTTTTAGTCATGTATGTATGAAGTGAGATACATCTTGATTAAATTTTATAAAACTTTTTTATGCCTTCAAGCATTGACTCTATACCTACTCGTATCATTTGCCCACGAATAGGTCGAATTTTTGTGTCATGGCAAACTTCTCTTGCACCAAATCCAAGACAATTAATCACAATATCATAAACACCAATGAACTGGAACGAATCAAAAACATTGTAGATTTTCTTAAAATGTAATATGTCTTACCTCTGTTAATGAATTTATTTTTTTCTTAATAAACATTACTTGCTTATCCGTTAGTCTATAATATAGGAGAAACGTTTCTTATTCAGTGTACGAGACTGAAAACATACAATAAGCATACTGTTTCGTTAAATATTTCATATATTTTCTTGTATCAACATAAAATGTTGTACAAAAGTAACCATATCTAAATTTTTAGGAAATTTAATTAAATATATAAGTCATATTTGCTAATTTACTCACTTGTACTTATCGGGAAATATGTCTGATAATTCGTTTTCATTTAAGTGTCGGAAATTGTAAATAATATCTTTGTATGATGGATCCTAAAGTATAGATTGATCAAAAATTATTTTACAAGCGCTATATGATTGGGATACGTGCCGGTCGTTCATCGTTAAACAACTGGTAGCCAGACACTTGACCTATACCTGCTTCAGCACTGTAGGGTGAAAATATTAATTTATTAAAATGGTCAAACGATAATTTTGACCAGTGTCTAATTATAAGAAGACTGAAAATTGATTATCAAGTATATATGTACGATTGCTCACTTTACAGTAGAGTTGTTAACACCGACAATAAATCGATCATCAGGACGGAATAATCCTAAAATATACTCCTCGTAATCAAGTTGAGAATCAAATTAAACAGAGAATAAAAATCCAATCCACTTGCCTCCAGCACCATCACTTGTTGTCGACGTAAGAAATTCATCAGCAATTATTGTTAGTGGTAAAGTAGGAAATTGATTTTTGATACGTACAGCAGTCGACAAACCAATAACACCCGCACCTAATATTGCTACTCGTGCTGTCATTTTACATTGAAAATTTTAAAATTCACTTGAAAAAATACTTTTTTGGATGAAATGTATCTTGGATCGTGTTATTTGTATGAGATGAAGAATAGACAACAGAAGAACGAAAAGAAAAACGTAATACGAGTTTTATCGCAATATTTTTATTATCATGTCAAATAAAAGATGCCACCATTTTCTCTCATGTATGATCCTTGGTTTTTTTTGTAACACGCAGCAACGATCAGTAGTGCAGAAACTATTGATCTTTTAGACAATAATATATTTGTTCATACTGAAGTTATCAGAAAGAAAGAGATAAAGAGTAACACCCATCTTAGTTGTGTCAAAACAGCTTGAGTATATGAGTACGACTTTTTAATACTTGTATGACTTCTGTCGAGTATTTTTTTCAAAAATTTACTCATTGAGTACTCATGCACAAATGTGTAAGTAAGTCGTACTCATGTCGTGAGTATCGTCATTAGGGTAGCGATAACTTACTTCTGTGATGATTGAAAGTTCGAACTGAATATATCTGATATGTTTGAACTATGGCTGTCAAAATTATTAGTTTTGTACGTGATAGTAATTTTCAACTCCTGTATAGCAGATGTACTTGGTACAAGTACTTGATTACTTGTTGAGTGCTTGAGCAAGAATCTGTCAAGTGTCGTTACTTGACTTGATTAAGCCAAGCACTTGGACAAGTAAGTCACTATTTCTTTTGCATTGACCACTTGTATATAAACTAGAGATCTGTAGGGGCACGGGAATTCCCGTGGCCGCGGGCGTGCCCGTACTGCCCGCAGGCATGGACGGGCACGAGCAGACTTGAAAGACACACGAACGGGCAACTGCTTCCCTTCGATGGGTACGGGCTTCTCAAAAAGATATTTTAAATTTTTTGAGCAACAAAATGGTACGAAGATTTGAATTTTTTGTGAATGCAATACAGACAGTTAAAGACAACATAATATACACGCGTGGACGAGAAAACTTTTTTCATGTACGGACTATTCATATACGAAAAAAACCCACGCGCAAGCACGGGCAGCGAAAAAAATTTACGGACAGCCACGGACAAGCATCCTCAGTAGGGTCACGGATACGGGCAAAAAAATCTTGCCCGTGCAGATCTCTAATATAAAAACTACAATATCCATCTTTATACACTTATAAAATAAACTTATATATCTCTACTGGGTTGAACAAACTTAATAGCCGGTCATGTATTTGCTCTACAAATGTAGAGTATAGCTTCAGAATATGTGTAAAATACAAAATAAAAATAAATAGAACAAGTACTTGATTGAACTTTTTCAAGTAAATTTACTTGCATTGTGCCAGCCAAGTACTTCTATTTTACTTGTCAAATTAAAGTATTTTCTCAAGTACTTGACAAGTAAATTTACTTGGAAAAGTCTACAAGTACTGTCCATTAGACAACCCCATCAATTCTCTATAAAATGATATGCTGGCTAGGTTTCTACGATCGTGGACAACCGAGTTACAGGCTTTTTAACATTATGAATAAACATTCAGTCGCTTTAATGCCGTTTTCGAACTGTATCATTTTCTATGCCACTGTTTGATACAACATCGTAAAAACTTGGTCAGCATCTCATTTTATAGAGAATTGATGGGGCTATCTAATGACGTGGTTGAAGGGCTTCTGAAAGAAACTTTAAGAACACTAGGTTTTCTTGAAAACCAGGTTTTTCGCAAATCTCTATCTCAAGACTGCAACGTATAGTCTAACTCTTCTCCGTCGAAATATATAGAACTTCATGTGCTCTTCCATTGGACACCAACTTCAAGGTTCTACGTTAGGGAATGTGGTCAGCAGACGTTCTACAAATTAGGCCAAATCCGCCGGAAAATGACGAAAATGCATTTTTCTGCTGCGAGGGTAAACTGGTTATAGCTTTTTTTCTAACAAGGCTGGAGACTGGTGGTTGTCACCATTCGGTTCAGCTTGCTCAGCTCTATAATGTGAGGCACTGACGTCAAAAGTTGATGTAAATGGTAAACGGTTTTATATGGATTTAGTCTACCCATCGATGCCGAAAACATCACTCTACAGTAGTATTTCTAGCGTTAGGACCCACAGGCCTCATTTGTTCTCAATATTATATATGTCATTGTGCAGCCCGTAAAATTCTCTATCGAATGATATATAAAGTGGAGTAGTTAACGATAAACTAGCTGGATAATATAAACGATGAACGCTGTTGATCTATAGATTTGTGGAGGTCGGGTCTAGTAATTCTAGTGTTAGGACACCCAGGCCCCCATTTGTTCTTAATATTATACATATCATTCTGTAGCCCATAAAATTCTCTATTAAATGATATACAGTAGTTGAGGTTTGCTTTGGGCAAAGAGAAGAAATGGGGAAAATATTCTAAATAAAATTCATTTAAGGGGAGAAAACTTTCGATGCGGAATTTTTTCCAGGGAGGTTTTTTTTTCCAAAAAAGTTCTTTCTAATGGTGACGCCAGTTTTCCCCGATAACGTCGTCATTTTTCCCTTAATTGTTTTTGCGACGAAATTTTGTGTTTTATATCCTGATCGGGTATAGCTATATCCCAATGGGGATATATATCCCGATACCCGATCAGGAGATAGGAGGTGTCCCCTTATTGTCGGTTCTTTTTTGTATTTTTCCAAAATTCACAATAAATGGTTTGTATTTTCGTAAAAACGAGTTGCAACACTTTTTAAAACGGCAGTTTTGTAGAGGAAACATTTCTCTACAAGATGGTATATAGTAATTAATTTTAAAGTTTTTTGATTTCTTTAAAAAGCGTTTTTGATAGAGAGCCGTATCGGTTAAAAACCGCAATTATAACCGACCGTAAGTTTGAGGAAAACGCTTTCTAAAAGGAAACAAAAAGTTTAAAATTAACTACTATATACCATCTTGTAGAGAAATGCTTTCTCTACAAAACTCCCGTTTTAAAAAGTGTTGCAACTCGTTTTTACGAAAATACAAACCATTTTTTTGTGAATTTTTGAAAAATACGAAAAAAAGCCGATGCACTCTTAGTTAGGTGTGACGTTTCTCTCTACTGTGCTCCAATAGTAAAATTAGTCTTTCTCCATATGCCACAGAAATAATAATAGAGAATGTTTCTTAGAAATTCTTTATAGTAAAATACGATGATGGCTGAGCTGATATGTAGGAAAAAAGAGAAGAAAAAAAATAGTTCGGATGCCATAGGTGCACAGCGTTGAGACCAACCTAATTTCACGTTGATACTAGCGTTTTGTGCCTAACTTATCTTAATTAAAAAAGCTGTCTCCCATTTTGTTACTCTAACTGTAGTCTCTAGATTTATCGCCCAATTTTCGCTACAACTACAATATTTCTTACTTCAAATCTTTAAAATACTTTTGATCTAATCGCCACATTGAAACATCTCTTTTTCAACGCGAGTAGCGTAGATATATTATAATTTAATAATAATTTATCTTCACCACGCGTAGATAAGAAACTGTTCGTCATAGCAAATTTTCCAATGTTGTTTTTCATTTTTGTTAATTCTTCACCGGATGTCATTTGACCACGATAGCCATATGTTTTTAGGCGCTCTCGCCCTTGGGTTCGTAGGTGGAGCAGCTTTTCCAAGGGGGGGAAAGCACCACAAGGCGAGTGTACTCATTCCGGAATACCTTTATTCTAGAATGCCATTCTGCCATTCCAGAATACCATTCCGTTTTTAGTAGACAAGCTTTTAGTCGAATTTTTAGGTGATAATAATAGTTGTAAGAGAAACTACAAGCGAAAGCAGATCTTTCATTTTAATATATTGCATGTTTTTCTTTTTTCTGCATGTATATTCAATATGTGCACGGTATAGCGTGTTACCACCCATGTGCTAAAAATCGGCAATTAATCGTGAAAAATCATAGGATTAATTGCGATTACATGACGATTTTGTTTCTAGGTAAGCTAGGTTCGAACCCATGTTAGGAAGTACATCTCTTTTTCTGTTTTTTCATTGTTTATTATGTATAATGACATGTACGTCACTCAGCAACGGTCTTAGCACCAGCTGAAGTCGGAGCCTTGCCGACGAGTCGATTTTAGACATTTCTTTCAGATACTAGCTGTTCACTGGGCTCCTCGGCTTAAGGCTCTAACGGACCATAGAGAAGACTCTTGACAACTCCGCTTTACTTTAAAAGAAAAAGATAATCTAAACAGAATTGAATTACTCGTTGAAAATGTGTTTGTTATATACATACTTTACGGTAAAATAAAACGGTGAGTATGAGTAATTTAATCACTTAAAACCAACAATTAATCGCAATTAATTTGCGCTTTTTTCGAAATCGTGATTAATTGTTGAAAATACCGCGATTTCGTCGACATGGGCAGTCAATACAAAAAATAAACTAGCTTCTGACAGACTTTTACGTGTACAAGGTAAATAATTATTTAGGCATCATTGCTTTTTCATCTTTTTTGTTTGACATACGGGATAGTAGCAAATAAATAAAATAAATTCTGGTCCTTCTGCTACTTTATTTCGTTACAGACTCAAAATTTTTGCTCGTATTTAGAACCAACACAAAAAACTTTCTCTTATTCTAGAATATCAGTCCGCCATTCTGCCCTTCCAGAAATTTTGTACCCATTCCGGAATGTGCTTTTTACCCCTTGACTTTTTCATTGCAGATGTGATACTTCTGTTAGTTGTATTTTTATGTGGAAATAGAAAGTTTTATACAAAAAGAACTAAGAGAGTTCTCACAGTCAGGGAATGTATATCGATGTTAACATTCATTAAACCAGCTTGAAGTAAATGTTAATATATAATGACCTTCCTAAACAGAAACCAATTGAAGTGTATAGATGGGTAGATTTGTTTGTAGATTCAAGTAGGTAGACTCATAAACCTCTCCTCTCTACGAGGACAGAAGTCCCATGTGAAAAAGGGTTCTGTCACCAGCATTCACGCTACTCACAATCGAAATTACTTACGATGCATTGTGGTGATGTTCCCTTGACTTAAAATGTTTTATAACTGGTCGGTTAACCAATATTTATACTCAAAGTGAAGCTCAAAAGTTTAGCCTACTTCAGAGTTGTAACTGGCCTAAAAATAAGAGGCCGACCGGTCCAAAACAGCGGAACGGACCGGATCGGCCGATCCACAAATCGGTTTTGACTGGTGAAAAATCTGCAAAAGACCTGCCGGTTTTGGAAAGTTTTTCGACCAATGAAAAAACGGCAGAAAGCCGTCCGACTTTCAAAGATTTTCCAGACGAACGAGAGGGTGGAAAAACTAACTTTTTTTAGTGAAGAAGAGAAAAATTCTAAGAATTTCAAAACCAGCAAAAAACCGGTGAATCACCGGTGAGTTTGAAAATCTTTCTAGACCGGCAAAAGACCGGTGGAGACCGGTCGTTCTAAACTTTAACATTGGAGCGAACCGGCACCGGCCCGATTCCAACTCTGGCCTACTTTTGTTTTGTGAGTTTTTCGACGAACGTGACAGCTAAGAGAGTATCAAATAGTGATTTGAGTAGCTGAAGCATCGTCCGAGCCGATAGAATATATTCGAAAATTCTTCCGAATTGTTTAAAACTTGAGATTTCTAGAAAACCAGAAGCCCTCTTGTAGAGTGCTCTAGTTCCAAAAGACGAAAACTAGAAAAAAAGCTCAGAATAAGAAAAGAATCAGAACGCGGCGTTTCTGGTACCAGGGTGATTAATAATACCATTCCTAATACTAAGCGTCTCATTACCTCTGTGTTCAAGTATTTCATCTATTTTTCAAAACACGAAACTATATTCGCATTCA